CTGCCCACCCCAAACAAAATATTAAGCAGCATTATCCTGCAGAGACTAAAAGATATGTAGGATCCAAATTTACGACTGGACCAGGATGGCTGGCTGGCTTCAGGAAAAACAAATCATGTGTGGATCAAATTGCATCGTTACGCTGCGCATCATCATAGAACAGAGCATAGAATGGCAGTCGATTCCCCACCTACACTTCATCGACTTTGAAAAGGCCTACGATAGCGTCGACAGACAAGTAATTTGGTAGTTGCTTCAACACTACGGTTTTAATGCCACAAACATTTATCAACCTCATTCAACACCTATGTGACGACGCCACATGCCAAGTAATTCACATTGGGAAGCTCAGTGATGCCTTTGAAGTGAAGACAGGGAAGAGTAAGACGAGGCTGTCTACTATCACCGATGATCTTCCTGATTGTGGTCGACTGGATCATGTGATAAACTGTGAGGAGCGAGAAGATAGGCATACGCCGTCTCGACCGATGAAAAGACCCTAGAAGATTTGGATTTCGCCAGTGATGATGTCCAATTTCGCACAAACTCGAAGATCTACAGGCAAAAACCAACAAGTTGACAGAAGAGACAGGGCAGCTAAGGAAGACGGGACTTCAAGTGAACGTAGAGAAGACTGAGGTGATGAAGATACCCAACCAACCCAACAACAGTATCAACAACAAGCTGCAATCACCCACCATGAACGGGAGGAACTCAAGGGAAGTAGTCTTTTTAACCTACCTACCTGCCTAGTTAGCATCGTTTCAACTACAGGCGGAGGTGGTGGTGGCAGCGGCTGCGGCGGCACAGATGAGGATGTTGAAGCCAAGATTGGAAAAGCAATATAGGTGTTCATTAGGCTGAAATCAGTGAGGAGATCTACTGCACTGGACTGAACTGTACTCGGCATAATGTGTGATTGGGATCCGGATTTTCAACACTAATTCAGTCAACTCAGTCAGTGGTTCTATGTGATGGTTGAGAGACTTGGCGCGTTACGGAAAGCATTTCTAACAAACTACAAACATACATCATGAACAGCTGCAGCCTACGCTCACTCGATACTGCACATCGACCAGATGGCCAGATTAATAAGATTAAGCAACAAGTAATTGTGGCCTGGCGACGAACCAACGAAGCAATAAACTATCACCCAACAAACATGCAGAAGAAAGTGTTGATGGATTGGATTGGGCATTCACTGAGGAGACCATTCGGGGACATCAGGCGTCAGGCCATGTCATCGAATGGAAGCCGATGGGGAAATGGCGAGTTGAGCGTCCGAGGAGAGGGTGACATTGAGAAGATCGTGTTGGGATGAAATGGAAGCTTCTAGGGAGTAGTGGAGCCAGGTTGAAAAGGCTGCAGAGAAGAGAATGAGATGGTGGCATGCTACGGAAGCCTTATGTTCTACTAAGAGCCCAAGTGCAAATTAAAGCTTGAAGTGCCATTTTGTAAGCGGGATGTTTATTCTCTTGCATTATTCTTATTATATTTTTAGATGATATAAGTTTGGATCAAACATGGGCAGTGTAGTGAAATGTTGTTCTATTGAAGTGTAATAGTGCTTCTTTCTATGTCTCTAATATAAATAACAATAATAATGATAATAATCTTACAATGATAGCATCACACACTGAAGGGTATTTTTTCATGGACTACATTCTAACTGGCATGTTAAAGCAAGCTACTTGATCAAGTCTCTATGGTTAGGAAACGTATTCGGAAAGTAAATTTATATGGTGTAATATTTAAATGAGCTTAAAATAAGTTATAATCAACTCAAACTATAGTTCATTATGCAGGCTATATTCTTTTTAATATGTATTCCTTTTTGAGTGACGAAAACGATTGTTTCTGGCTTTATGTACGCTGGAAGTAAATTTTTTTCTGTAGGTGTGTTGCACAGCTGTGGGGGTATGGAGAAACTGGTTGTTGCAACGTAATGGACTGTTACCATTTGAAACACTTCTGGATTAAAATATCATAAACAGTGACTACACCACATAAATTGGTTACCAGTTTAGCTGTCGATTCTTAAGATACTTACCTAATCTTATTTCTCTGACCAGACTTATATGCCAAATATTTTATCTCAAGTACATGATTCACACAAATGCAACCTATGCCTAATATCAACCTTCTACTCAGCACCCAATATTTGCCATACTATTCGGTCAAATCTTGATTATAGTTCATATAAATTCCTTTGTTATCTTACTAATGTTTACATTTTCCTCCCATCTGCATGCACTTAACTGTAAAGTGTTCTGGAGATCATCATTAAATGAATCTCAGTTGCATTTTGAAGCTGAAAATTTACATGATGATTGTAAAGCTTAACGGAACTGAAGCATTTGCCAGTAGACAGTTTTATTTTACTTACTATTGAGGACAAAGTATTTTTTGATCTCAAGTGCGTATTCATCACGAACTGACATCAGTTGGGGAACCGTCTGAAACCTGGTAGCAATGGGTAGCTGTTTATCCCTAGAACGGGACTTCCCAGCAGTGCGTACCCATGACCCAGGCAAGAATGAACAAAATAAATCTCCACAAACCTCCAAATTGAATTACTATCTAGTGGTCAATAGTGACTTGCTTTGAGATGAGATTCCCGAAGTTCTCTTAAGAAGTCATGACCAGCGGGTCAAATCAAATCGTACTTAAAGACATTTACTCAACGACGATATTTGATTGAGGTTGCCCTATATTGTGAACTGGCAGAAGTGGGAAAATGTTGACCATTGAACTTCGAGTCAGCGGCTGTAGGATAAGTTGCTGGCAGCGCGACCTGAAGGTCCTAGGTTCAATCCCAGACGGATTCTTAGATGCTCACTGGTGAGGAGTCCAAAACCATGAAGAAACAGCTGTCTAGTGCTTCCAGGTTCTCAATCTGATGTCATTTCGTGATAAATGATAACTTGAGACCATCAAAGTGAATCCCAACCAACCCCCATAATAATTTTGTTTGCATTTATTCACGTCTCTTAGAAACTTAGTCTTATCATTAAGTTATTTCTAATCAGTATTTGAAGCTGTCAGATGACATAATCTAAAACCTAATATCATAACGAATGCGCGCTTCCCTACTAACCTTCTTTAAATGTGAAATTCACCGACCCATATCTGCTTGCTTTCTTATTGACTTGTAGTTTTCTCTCACTTACTGATAACATTTTCTTCCTTTGGTGAATTTTCCATTCCAGTGTGTTGTTTTGTGAAGTTTGAAACCTCTATGTTTTTGTATGTATCCCCTTTTGGTTAGTGAATTCATGCAGAACGAATGGCATCTAAATGCAATCAGCAAACTTGTGCACATTCGTGCAGTAGGTAATGAGCCCAACTTATTTTGGGAGGGCAAACAGTACTGCTTTGCTGCTTAAACCTTGGTAGGTGGGGTGGGGCTCGAAACCGTGACTCATTGGTTGGGAGTTAACTTTCTGAACTAGTGTACCACAGTGCCACTCATACAGAATACCAACTTAGTTTCCGTTTTAGTAAGCTGGTTTTTATGAAAAATAAATTTCGTCAGCGAAATACTTGGATTACAGTTATATGCATGTGTATATGGTAGTCCTTTGTAATTGAAAAATTTCCGCCGACAATAAATTCTTTAGATAAATAGGAAATACTTTTATTTGGTATGTGTTTCGTTACTAGAAATAGTCACTGTTGGTCAGACTGAGATAGCCTTCTTGAACGGATTGATGCCCATGTAGTTGGTAAAATCCAGAAACTGTTGATCCGAATCTTGCAGAGGCCTTAGTTTTATTTTAGCTCGAGCCGTTAATCTTGTTTAGTTGAGGAAACGATTGGTTACCAACCTAAGAGAATAACCATCACAGTGCACTTTTGATTGATGTTATTTCTTTGAAGGCAACCACCACGAGGTTCTGGACTTTACTTTCGTGCATATTGGGATTTGTTATCAGGGGATGTCAGCAACCTCAAGGGAAATGATGTTCTCTCTGAGATTTAAACTGATTCAAACCGCTGGGTTCTTCGGACCATAAGTGACCTCTTGTGGGGCTGGAATAGCCTCTGGTCCAGGGTTTTCTTCTGGTTATTCTCAACTAACTAATATCGATCCCACTTGGATTTATCAGAACCTGTTACCAAAAGACCAAATGACTGACTGATAAAATAGCTGTCAGATGAAATTGATTCATATGAATTTTAATACAACTTTGGGATAATAATTATTCGGTTGTCTCTGAGCTTCTAGGTTTATTCTTGAAGGTTTCATCACTAGGCTAGGCGAATACATTAGCATTCACTTCATATATGGGCTGCAAATTTTCTCTACTATCTCACAACTTTGGGAACATGCGACCCACTGCCTTCTTAGCATAGGTCTTGTGTTGTGTGTCACCATGTCATTAATGCAGAAGTCAGGTTTTCAGTTTCAGAGAAGAGAGAAATCTTAGTTGATAAGGTTTTGAGCCTTCGTCCGCTGAGATTGCTGGGACATGTGTTACGCATGCTTAGTCACCATCTGCCTCATTACTCAATGGTAGCGGAAGGAGGTTCAGGTTGGAAAAAGGCTCAGGTGGGACAGACAAAAACATGGGCATCGCTGCATGAAGTCCTTCTGTGGTGGTGTGAACCATGTAGGCATATGAAAACTTTGCGGTCCGGGTTCGTGTGACAACAGAAACTAGTGGTTGGAGACTCTAAGTGATGTGGCTCAGAATCAATGTCGGTGGTGCACACGTACCCATACATTATCTTAATCTTAGTCAGCAATTTTAGATCCTTTCTTCTTACCGCTTTTGATTGATTCTTCTTTATTTCTTCATCTTTTGTCGTACTACTTATTTTCTTGTTTCGTTGATATGAGGTGTAGCAAGTTCAACCGTTTGGCAGTAATGTCCGACTGATACTGACTGGTTGATTGAATTTGTGAATACTATTTTAATGCAACAATATTCACAATTTTGTTTAAATATCATCCATAATGCTATACAAACTGTAATATGGAAGAACAAACAAATTTTGATACCTAACAACAATATTAATCATTAGTTATTCTGGAAATAGTCTTCATAATGACGAGTCAAACAGTGTATAAAAGACACAAAACACATTACAACTAAAAAAAACAACGATAGATCATCCATGGAGTGGAAAAGAAAGGAGAATTTTAGGAAAACGTAAACAGGTCTACAGGAATTTTCGAATACACTGAATACTACTGAATATATTTACTAAACAACTGACTTTGAATCACACTGATCAATCAGTGAATTTGTTGATTTAACAGAAAGTGGTGCGTATAAGTGACAACAAAATATACCTGTATTTTTGATTTCAATTATTTTCCCCCAAAAATAAATTTTTTTTGCTACAGAACTGTTCATTATGCTTACTGATGGTAATGATTGTTTAAAGGCAAGTTAAAAAAATCTACAGCTAATTCAAAGGGAATTTCTTCAGAAAATTGGAAAATAGTTGTGCAGATAAATTGTGATTATTATTATTATTATCAATTATTATTACTTGTTAAATATTTATATTTATGTTTGTGCGTAAAGGAAGTCTTGTATATATGCATGTTATTCACTAGTGCAAACACGACTATAAACTGTGAATAAGTTAATCGTAGGTTATATTTCCAGTGTTAAGCTTCAGTATGATGTTAACATTCATGAATTGGACTTTCATCACCCATTTTATTGGCTGTTGTACTGTATTTACGATTTTTATTAAATGTACAGAAAGTTGCACCTTTTGGTTGATCATATTCTTCCATAGACAAAGATCGATTCCTAGCAACAGGTATAGTGCTACTCATTCTTCGGTTGACCAATCCGCCGGCTGTATAAAAGAAGAGAAGTATTTTTAGGTTAACAGTATGAATAATATATATTAGTTGAAAAGTTGATGATACCATTGACTGTGTCACCATCTTCCCGTTTCACTGTTTTTTATGTCTAGTATATGCTACGTTTTTAAGGTAGGATTCTTCACTGTTATACGTCCACAAATGGTACTTCGTCGATAATTACTTAATGGTAGAATTGTAATAGCATTCCTTTATGAAATTGCATAATAGAATATCTTAGTAAAATATTCAGAAGTAAACAAGTTTTATAAATATTGATATTGGTCTTACCTAGTCCTAATCCTTGAATAAAGTACTGTAGGGAATCTGCCACTTTTTCAGGCTGAATAAAATAAATATATTCGAAGGAGGAGGAAAGACTAAATTAATACTGAACAACTTTTAATAACACAAAAAAAAATATATCTGACTAGTTCAGTTATGCAGGACATATTTGATTGGTAGATACTATCTGATTGGGAGTTTAGAGAAAGTCTGCATCTTGATGCAGCATAGAACAAAAGCCTCCTGCTATGTGTAATACCATACTACAGTGCTAATCACTTCTGAGATCTACCCAACCATTCTAAGATATGTGGAATAAATACTTTCAATATGACTGAACGTTGACTCTAAGATGATGGTGAATTTTGATGTTGTGTTCTCTGAGCTGCAGTATTCAGCTGTGAAGGTTTCGCTGTCATTCTAGGTAATATCATCAGCACAAACTATTTCCTGAAGTTCTAATCACTGCAATTACCAAGCAGATTACAACATAATCAACGATCAGGGAATATTGAGGGATTAGCATATGTCAACAGACATTGATCAATTCGATTCAGAATAACAACGCGAAATTATGTGTCAATAAATAACAGTCCTGATATTGACTACCACGTAGGTCTACCCATTACAATTTTTAAACATCTTACGCTTGAACTGAAAGTAAGTTTCAAGGTCTCAACCAATCAACTCTGTTAGATTTGAGTTCCCAATAATTACGGCTAATTTCGGTCTCTGTTTACAAAAATGTCCACTTTCCATTTGACTGGATTTAAGTAAATTCAAGAACGAAGTCACATACAAGTACACCATTCGATCTTCGTCTACCTTCAATTCCTTTGTTTTGTTGTTAAACTCATAACTGCGTATCATCTAGGGGAACTAGAGCAATATGGATTAAGTATACTTGACGCAGAATGAATTTTTAAAAATGGACTATATTAGGGTAGTATCCACCTATGAGTTGTATAAATAACCAAAACAAGTAATCTTCAGGCTACTCTGCCGCTGACTTAGAATTTTTTGGGTCGCCCATCTTCATTGTTGGTATATATATAACTACCAGTTTAAAAACTGATAGGTATACTTACATAAGAGTTAACTCTAAAAGTCACCCTAGCAACGACTGATATATGTAATCAAGTCTCACGATTTAGTCTAGAAATGTAAACGAACCTGATTATTTATTTCAGTAGTTGTTAGGGTAGTCTTTAAAGTCACTCCTAATTAACAGATGATAAAGGCGTATTGATCTGTCATTTGGCCAGCACCGCTAATTAATATTTGCTAGCTTTTAAGGACTGTGAGATCAACATATATTATCATGAAAAGAAAGCACATGATTTACTTCGGTTGTCAACTTCTCCTTCAGTGTGAATTTTAGTAATAATGAAGTCATTCAAAACTTTGAAATTAGGTCTTTTTACTAGCTTGGAAGTGGAACTGAAGCGAGTTATTGTTATGGTTACCATAATGCAGAATGATGGTAACTGTCTTTGTCAGAATCATAATTATTTAGAACATTAAAATACCACTTAACTTTCAACGAACTGAATCGATTTATTTTTCTTGCATGAACATCGACAGGAGTTAGGTGTGCGTGTGCGTATTTTGGTAAGCAGATCTCAAACGTAGATTGCAATGAATAATTATTTAAATACTGAAAATTTGTGCCGTCGTTCAGTAGTACGTTTGTAGAACTATCAAGTTGATTAAAGTGTACCAATCTTTTCCCCACGTCAAATTGCATGCAACAGACACCTGAACTCAGCAAAAGTAAGGATCACGCAATCAACTGTTACCCGTTTGAGTAACAGAATATTTAAGATATCAGATAAACAGGATAGTAAATGCAACTGATAATATTAAAATTACTATACCTTCTAATAAATTACGCATTTGCAAATTGTCCTTTGTTCTAAATGTAATTTAGATTATTTATTGCACTTTCAATACTCTGTGTTCCCTTTTTTGCCGGATTTCTCGCCAGTCCATCTTTATCGCTTTGGACTTTGCTATATATACTACTTATATGCATCCTTATGAGTAGCTCTCATTAAAATCGCTAAAAAACATTTAACTTACTGCTATTTACAGAACACTACTTCATATTTATTGAATGCGTGTTAATTACTTCATCCCTTAGTTTGTGTAAGCACTATTCAAGTAGCAAAAAGTTATTTAATTTATACAAAACAAAAAATATGATGTTCAATCCTAAAACATCAAGATGAAAATTTATTGGTAAAAATGAAGATTTTAGCGACGGAATGTAAGTAATTCGAAGAATAAATGGCGATTTTGATGTATTAAGTTTTATTACATTTGACTATGAGTTGCTGAAGAAATTTTGTCTCATATTTGAAGGATAACCGGTCGTCTGATGGGAATGTTTCTTGGATTCTTCTCCACTGGGTAATTCCTATAGGTGTTGTATGCATCTTCTTTTTTTGAATTTGTATTGCATCTGTGTGCACAAGCAATTAACTGAAACCATATGACTGAGAATCGTTTCAATAAATTATTGGCTGTCTACTCAGAAGTGGGTAGTTTTTAAAATATCATTCCCTACATGATCTGTTTCTGGAGATGGCAAACACACGGTGGCCTGGATGAATCTTGCTCTACTGAAATTGTCCACCAAACATATGCATCAAGTTCTTTCCTTTCAATTTGTTTTAATCATCTCACTGTGTCTTCTAACCTTGCCATATACTCTCGCACAGTTTTCAAATGTTCTCACCTAGCCGTTTCTCGGGTTAATAACAAAACGAAGGGAAAATTTCACGTTTGATGGGCATAAACTTTTCAGCGCACAAATGTAAATCATTTTTCTATTTCTGTGGTCTTTAGCTCGAATTAAAGCTTACTGTACTGGTTAAATAAATCAACACCACTAAACTTGTGTTCGCTTTTCTGTTGATTCTCCATTCTAGAATGGATGGTAATCCAACACTAGCTGGTTGTTTCATATTTTTACCATTAATACTGTTATTACTAACATCATTCAGATACAATGGTCATTTCGTCTGAAAACACTGTCTTGGGAGTGACCTTTGTCAGACTATGTTAATGCCAGTCTTAAGATAGATAAAAGAAATTATTTAAAATTCACTTAATAAGGGATTCAGTGACTGAAATGAATGATAGGCAACACACTTAAATTTCAGAAGACACAAATGAATAGATGTCTTACTCAATTGCTTTTGACCATTAATCTTGTTTCATATATGGTTATTAAAACTGAAAGAAATTTTACGTGGAGATAATATTTTATCAGGTTGGAAAGGAAAATCCTTTTTTCGATAACTAATCTTGATCTTGCTCAACCGGAGGCTAAGGATTTCATAATGAATCTATGTAACATAGTTGTTTCGTGCTATTTGGGACTCGTCTGCTGGATACGTAACTACTATATTATTATATTATTTGCCCTTGGGTTACAAGTGGGACATGGGGCTTCAGTAACACGTCTCCATCCCACTCTGTTCTTTGCAATCTTTTCAACCTGGCTCTACTACTCCCCAGAAACTCTTACTGCTTCCTCATACGACCTCATCCATGTCACCCTCTCCTCGGACGCCCAACGCACCGTTTTCCATCTAAGTTCCACTCGATGGCCTGGAGCGTGATGTGCCCGAATGGTCTCCTCAGTGAATGCCCAATCCAATCCATCAACACTTTCTTCTGCATGTTTGTTGGGTGATAGTTTATTGCTTCGTTGGTTCGTCGCCAGGCCACAATTACTTGTTGCTTAATCTTATTAATCTGGCCATCTGGTCGATGTGCAGTATCGAGTGAGCGTAGGCTGCAGCTGTTCATGATGTATGTTTGTAGTTTGTTGGAAATGCTTTCCGTAACGCGCCAAGTCTCTCAACCATCACATAGAACCACTGACTGAGTTGACTGAATTAGTGTTGAAAATCCGGATCCCAATCACACATTATGCCGAGTACAGTTCAGTCCAGTGCAGTAGATCTCCTCACTGATTTCAGCCTAATGAACACCTATATTGCTTTTCCAATCTTGGCTTCAACATCCTCATCTGTGCCGCCGCAGCCGCTGCCACCGCCACCTCCTCCTGTAGTTGAAACGATGCTAACTAGGCAGGTAGGTAGGTTAAAAAGACTACTTCCCTTGAGTTCCTCCCGTTCATGGTGGGTGATTGCAGCTTGTTGTTGATACTGTTGTTGGGTTGGTTGGGTATCTTCATCACCTCAGTCTTCTCTACGTTCACTTGAAGTCCCGTCTTCCTTAGCTGCCCTGTCTCTTCTGTCAACTTGTTGGTTTTTGCCTGTAGATCTTCGAGTTTGTGCGAAATTGGACATCATCACTGGCGAAATCCAAATCTTCTAGGGTCTTTTCATCGGTCGAGACGGCGTATGCCTATCTTCTCGCTCCTCACAGTTTATCACATGATCCAGTCGACCACAATCAGGAAGATCATCGGTGATAGTAGACAGCCTCGTCTTACTCTTCCCTGTCTTCACTTCAAAGGCATCACTGAGCTTCCCAATGTGAATTACTTGGCATGTGGCGTCGTCACATAGGTGTTGAATGAGGTTGATAAATGTTTGTGGCATTAAAACCGTAGTGTTGAAGCAACTACCAAATTACTTGTCTGTCGGCGCTATCGTGGGCCTTTTCAAAGTCGATGAAGTGTAGGTGGGGAATCGACTGCCATTCTATGCTCTGTTCTATGATGATGCGCAGCGTTGCAATTTGGTACGATACGTAACTACAGGTGTCAATAAATAATAATTGCTACTATTTGCATGCAGGACAGCTGTCTTGCTTCACTGGTCTATCGGTTGATGCTTTGGTATTTGGAATGATGGTTACCGTGTTCGATTTTCTGGGGAAGCGCGATCACTCACTAGAGTACCTGTATATCCAGCTTATGAGTCCCAAATAAGGTGAAACATACGTCCTAAATTCCACCACTGGTCATTAGGTAAATTCATGAATCTTTGCCGATAATTTTTTTACATTAAAGCATTTTACTAAATAATATCAGTACACATTAAACTAGCATACATATTTTTTGAAGGAATCTAGGGA